CAGCAGCAGAATATTCCGGCGGCGGAATTATCCCCAGCTGAAACTAACAGTAGTCAAGTAGTGATTCCGATGCGGCCGCATTACATTCCGGGCCATGGTAATTACGCAACGAAACCCTACCCGCCTGGATACCGGTTCGCGCCGAAAGACACAGAGCTGATTGTCGATTATCTGCTGAAGCGGATCCGAGACGAGTATATCCCCGTACCGGAAATCAGCAACGTCAATCTTTACCAGGCCAATCCTCAGACACTGGGAGGTTTGTTTCTCTTTTAGTCTTTAGGGTTTTTTTTTCTAGGGTTTTTCAACTGTTTTTCGTAGTATCCGTCGGTGTGACGAAACGCAGAATCGATATATATTCTTGGTATATTTAACACGTGCTGAAATGTTCTTACTGTTTCCTTTTTTTTTAAGTTGAAAATTAAGATTTTTTTTTTTTTTTGTGGATTCTACATGATGTGTTACTATGGTTTCACGCGTGTGTAAAAATAGAGTCCGATTTATCGTTGAAGATGAAGATTCAACACGTGTTGAAATTTATATATATATATTTTTTTTTATGTTTTTTTGGTTGAGATTTTAGATTTTAGATTCAACAAATTTGAATTTTTTTTTTAAATTGAGATTTAAAAATACAGTAAATATATCATTGAAGATTTAACATGTGTTGACTTATTATTTTTTTTAATTATTATTTTGTATTATTTGGTTGAGATTTTAGATTCTGTGGGTATTGAGGTCATTCATTCACATAATATCTGAAATATTCTTGAAGAATTTAACTTAACACATGCAAATATAATTATATCTATTTTTTTCCCCTCTTTTTATTTTTTTTATTTTTGGATAGCTATCTATCCTAAACTTGGAGAAAATGAGTGGTATTATTTTACGCCGAGGGACCGAAAGTACAAAAACGGGTCCCGCCCTAGTCGATCTGCAGGCACCGGTTATTGGAAAGCAACTGGTTCCGATAAATCTATTTGTTCTTCCAACGGCGAAATTGTTGGTTACAAGAAATCGCTAGTCTTCTACGAAGGAAAACCGCCAGCTGGCACCAAGACTAACTGGATCATGCATGAGTACAGATCTAACGAACCCTCTCGAGCTCGACCTAGTACCGACAAACTTGACATGAGGGTTTTATTTCATTTTATTTTTTTCAATTTTCTTCACTATATATGTTTAAAATCATTTATTTAATTTTTTTTTTTTTGGTGTGCAGTTGGACGATTTTGTGCTGTGCCGTGTGTACGAAAAAACGGGTGAACCGGCCGACAATCCGGTCAAGGAAAAGAGTAACGCTCGTCGTGCGAATAAGAAAGCTGTTGTGAAAGAAGTTGTTGTTGAAGAAGCTAACGATAAAAAAGACGAGCAGCCACAACCCGAAGAAGTAGCTGCCTCGGATTTGCGCAGTGATAATACTAGCCATGATGCGGCGGCAGCTCTAAACGAGGACCATCGTTTCGATTCCGAACTATACATTGCCAAATTCGATGTGTCTTCCGAAGAATATCAATTTCCGGAATTCGAACAAATACTTTCAGAAGACGAATTGTACCTTGATTGGCTGCAACTCCATAACAGCCCTGATTTTAATTCTCAGCAGGTGCACCTTGATTGGCTGCAACTCCCTAACAGCCCTGATTTTAATTCTCAGCAGGTGCATTGTAACGATATTTACGACGGGTCTCGTTTTTTTTCTTCTGACGGTGATTTGAGCTCTACTTTTAATCGGAGCATGCCAAATAAGCGGAATTTGGACAGCATGCAAAACAATGGAATTTCGGAGAGCATGCAAAATAATTGGAATCCGGGCATCATGCAAAATAATTGGAATCCGGGCAGCATGCAAAATAATTGGCATCCGGGCAGCATGCCAAGTATTCCGCATCCGGGCAGCATGCCAAGTATTCCGCATCCGGGCAGCATGCCAAGTATTCCGCATCCGGGCAGCATGCCAAGTATCATGCCAAATATTCCGCATCCGGGCAGCATGCCAAATATTCCGCATCCGGGCAGCATGCCAAATCCACATTACAATTCAAACGATCATCGGGCGGCTTATGCTAACCATTTTCGACAACATCGGGGGCATAACTTTGGCATGCATGCGCAGAATACGGGGAATATTGCCCCTCAATTGCCAAATATTTACGGAGAAAACCTAAACGGGAAAAATATTCAACATGGTCACTTAAGCAGCGGGGGCAACAACTTTGTTCCCCCGCCGGGGGTTGGTTCGACTACTTACAACACTGATTATCATCCGAGGAAAAAAGCTCGATCTAATAGTGGTTTGGAGTTGAGGTAGTGCTTTAGGAACTAGTAGTTAGCGTTTTCGTTTTTTCGTTTTCGGGACTTTTTTTTCTTTCTGGAGTTTGTGACAACATGTTGTTGTTGGTATATGTGATGTAACTGGGAGGTTTGAGCAAAGTTCGAACTCCATGCTCCCCATATTGTGGGGGAGAGATTAATACCATTTACCTTAGTGATTAATATTTTCAAGTATATTTATATATTGTTAGTCGAGAACTTAATAAATTATATTATGTTAGTTCGTAAAAGTTTTGAATTTCAGATTTGAAATTTTGAGAATATCAAATTGTTTTCGTATACATTGAAATGGTGGGTTTTGAATTTTCTTTTTCAGGAAAAAATATCTATGACTTATCTCTAGCTTTCGAATTTTCTCAATCTCCGACGATCTCTTATTTGATTGTTTTGGTAAGGTTTCGAGTTTTCTCGTCAATGGTAAGATACAAAAAAAATGACATGGGGACGTGGGCACAGCGAAATGGGGAAACGAACACGGGAAAAATCCTATTTTTCCGAAAAAAAATGGATATGAAAACATGGGAAAGCATATAAATATTAAAAATATAGAGGTGTGTTCATAAATTCTAAAAGATGATGTAATCTTACATTTATGCTTAAGGTCAATTACATATTGCATCGGCAAATTATATATAATTTACAAGTTCCAATCAGTATTATTATTCAACAAACTATAGACGGTGTCAGAAAAAGAGATTAAATTTTAAACGGATCAATCGATATTTAATATAGATCGGATTCCACTAATTTTTTGTCATGTGGCACGTTTTAACTCTTAATAAATCACGCTAATTATAATTAATTACTCTAATTATAATTAGGGTTAGAGGGATAGATCGGATTCCACTAGCTAATTATTCCACTAGCTAATTATAATTAATCACCCTAATTATAATTAGGGTTAGAGGGAGGGATAGATCGATTCCACTAATTTTTTGACATGTGGCACTCTTAAATTTTAACTCTTAATAAATCACGGTAATTATAATTAGGGTTAGAGGGTTTATCCGTTTTGCTGGGGTTTTCTTTTTTTTTTTTTTTTTCTTTTTTTTTCCAATTATTAGAATCCTAATTATATTTTTATTTAAACTATCCACGTGTCAATCATCCTATGGCATCTGATTTTCCTATTAAAACAGACCATTCGATCTAAATTTGCACTCTTTTAAAAAATATTGGAACACCACAAGAAGTGGCATCCGATTTTCCTATTAAAACAGACCATCCAATCTAAATTTGTACCCTTATAAAAAAATATTAGAACACCTCAAGAAGTGAAAATTAAAGAGAAATAAGATTTTCAAGCGTAATTCCAAGTCTCTATGTAAAAGATGTTTTCGATATTCTTTTGGGTGGAAATGCACTTATGTTTTTTCATTATTATACAAACATGTTTTTGCGTTTCGGAAATATTTTTTTTGGGTTGAAATGTATTTTTTTCATTATTATTATCAGAAACGTCCTCAAAACTTCCAGGTAATTATAAAAACGGCCCTAAAACATATCCAAAGCACACATAACACATTTTTCGTGCATCATAGTGTTGTGACAACATTATTGGGTTTATTATATATCAAAAATTAGAAAACATGTCAAAAATATTAAACATATTTTAATAATCTGTCTATCTTCTTACACATATATAGTACATTGGACCCACATCCCATATATCAGAGGAGATTAAAGTTTTGAATCTAACTTCAATTCTTCATACACATATATATGCACTTATAGTTATAACTGTATATATGGACCATTTCTCTCTCTCTCTCTCTCTCTCTCTCTCTCTCTCTCTCTCTCTCTCTCTCTCACACACACACACACACAGACACACACACACCAGTGATGGGAAAGAATAAGGTCCACATTTTTTCAGACCAGACTTTAATTTAAGAAGAGAATTAATATGTAATAGTTAAAGGGTGTACAGTCTTATCAAAAAAAAAAGGGTGTACAGATCACTTGTATATATACATCACTATTACAACCCTATCATTGTTTACATCATTATTAGTATTATTATTTTATTATTATTATTTTCATAACTACTCCTATTGCATTAGTTTCAGAGTTTCCTAAGTTTATAAAAAGATTGCTACATTTTATTTATAAAAAAAAAAACCAAAAGCTACTATAGCAAATTCAATGGCATTATTAGAAAAAGTTGTTTTATTTTGCTTCATTGTCTCCTTCACTACAAACACTTTTGCACTACCTAATAAAGAACAAGAATCTGACCGGATTTCGAAGCTTCCGGGACAGCCTCCGGTGAACTTCCGGCAGTATTCTGGGTATGTTACGGTGAACGAAGAACACGGGCGGGCGCTTTTTTATTGGTTGACTGAGGCTGTTAAGTGTATATTTATACACTTAATTATACCTTTTAATTGGAGCTTTTGGTGTGTTTTTACGATAATTGGTGCTTAATATGGTTATTAATTGTATTTTAGGTGCAAATTGAAGAATTGGCAACTTTTGGGGTGAAAACTGCAATTTCGGAGAAAAAGTGGGCCAAAAGTGAAAAAAGCAGAATTCTGGAGAATTAAAGGACCGCGCGGCCGTGCGGATTTTAGGCATAAATCTCACACGGCCGTCCGGATGGTCGAATTGGCGCAGTGAAGGAATCCTAATTACACAAGGAAACCCGCCCTATTATAGTTTTGCACCCTATTTAAAGGCCACAAGCACACAATTAGATATATCTTTTACCTTTTATCTTTAATCTTGAGGTTTTTATTTTTCATCTTTCTACACGCAATCAAGGAGCACAAGAACGAAGACGAAGACTTGACGAATCTTCATCCTAGTTCCCCTCTTTGACTTTTATTTATAGCTTTTATGATTTTTATTACTTTTATTATGTTTTTCGTTATGAGTAGCTAAGTTTTTAATCTAGGATTTTGTTGGAACTCTATGTGGGGATTGTGAACCCGTTTTCTTGAGATTATGCAATTATGATTTTATGATTATTTCTTATACTTGTTATGATTGTTAGTGCATGAACTTGATCAATTTATGTGCTTTATCTGTGATTATTGGGATTGACTCGACAGAGCTATTTTGATAATTAGACGGTAAGTATAAGAGCCTTCGAGTAGTTTTCACCGGATGAGTGTGTCAATTGCATGTGGTGTCGTAGACATACAGATATCACCTTAGGTAGCCATTTACGAGACTTGTTAGTTAATGCTTTATTTATAATTGGTTTGCATAGACATATAGTGAATCGTTTATGAATAATAGACTCATAATACACGCGACAACGGGTTATGAGTAAATTAGTGTCTCGGGTTAATAATCATGAATCATATATTTCATAATTGAGGGGTTTTGGGTGAGCAATTCTTGCATAGGGGGAAGATAAAATCCTAGATCCGTTTTATATTGATATTTTCTCGTATTTAATTGCTTTCTTAATTAGTTTAATTTATTTAGTTAATTAATTTGACAACCTTGTGTTGGCTGGATAAAAATCGTAATTGTTAAAATTTGGTACTTAGGATTAAATAATTTGCGTATTCCCTGTGGGATCGACATCCGACTCTCACGAGTCTACTTTACTACTTGTTTGCGATACGTACACTTGCGTGTGGGTATTTAGCACCCAACAAGTTTTTGGCGCCGTTGCCGGGGAATACGGCTAAATTATCTATTTATCCTAATATTAAATTTGAGCAATTTTTCTTACTTCAGCCGTTTTATTAATTTTATTTAATTAATTAATTTTTTTTATTTTGTTCTAGGTACTTTTTATGCGACAATGGAAGAAGAGAATAATCGTATGGGAGATCACCAAGGGCGCCTACCGAATGCAGCAGGAAATATCGTCAACGAGCAAGAGCAACGCCAACTAATTAATCCACCACCTCGTCAACGAGCACTGCATGAGTACGCCGTCCCGACACTCAATGGGGTCCAATCAAGCATCCAGCAGCCCCCCATTGAAGCCAACAATTTCGAGATTCGAGCGGGACTCCTCACGATGCTCCAAAACAATGGTCTATTCAGCGGATTAGCTCATGAAGATCCACATCTTCACTTGGTCAACTTCCTCGAGACGTGTGACTCGCACAAGATGAACGGAGTAACACCCGAAGCACTGCAACTCCGCCTGTTCAAGCACTCCCTACAAGGAGGAGCCCGAGAATGGTTGCAAACTCGCGCACCGCACTCCATCTCGTCTTGGGCCCAGCTAGCGCAACTTTTCATGAACACATACAACTCCCCAACAAAAACTGAGAGAATCCGGAGAGAAATTCAAAATTTCATACAAGAAGCCGGTGAAGCATTATTCGAGACGTGGGAGCGGTTCAAGCAGCTAGTAAGGAGGTGCCCGAATCACGGACTTCAAGAGTGGCGCCAATTGCAAATATTTTACGATGGATTGCAAGACAACTCGAGAACCGTGCTTGATTCGGCAGCTGGAGGTATGTACATGAGTTTGACCTACGACGAAGCATGCGAGCTCTTGGAACGAATCGCTAGGAATAAATACATGCGAGCATCGGACCGGTCGAATAGCGGAGCAGTCAAGACGGGCGGAATTTTGGAGTTAGATGGAGTCACCGCAATCACGGCCCAATTGGAGAAGCTATCGAAGCAAGTAGCGGCTTTGCAGGCTCAGCAAGTCCACGCAGTCCAAGTTCCCGACCAACGCATAGAAGAAACGGAGTCTCTGAATTATGTGCATGACACCAACCAACAACAGAGGAACCCGTACCCCAACACGTACAATCCCGGATGGAAGGATCACCCCAACTTTGGATGGGGAGGAAATCAGCAAGGACAAAGGCAAGCACCACCTCAAGCTCCACCCCAAGGAGTTGACCTCGCTGACATCTTAGCAAAATTCATGACGGCGACTCAAGCATCCATTCGGAACCTTGAGACACAAATGGGGCAACTTGCAACCCAACTGAACGCGAGGCCGTCGGGAGCACTGCCGTCGAATACGGAAGATTCTCGAAAGAGAAACATCGAGCAGTGCAATGCTGTGAGTTTGCGAAATGGGAGGCAATTAGAAGAAGTTCCTAAAAAGTCCGTCGCACCACCGCCTATTGTAGAGGAGCCCAAGGAAAAAACCGAGGTCGGGCCAAGCAACACAAAGATCACAGTAAGTGAACCTACTCCCAAGGTACCTTTCCCTCAACGTTTTCAAAACTCTAAGCTTGATATGCAATTTCAGTCATTTTTGGATTATCTTAAAAAATTGCATGTTAATATTCCTTTTGTTGAGGCACTTAAGCATATGCCGAATTGGGTTAAGTTTATAAAGGAACTTGTATCGAAGAAGATGAGGCTTCCGGAGTGTGCATCAATCATAGACCTCAATGAGCAAAGTAGTGCTATCCTTGCAAATAAAATTCCACCGAAGCTTAGAGATCCGGGCAGTTGTACCATTCCATGCACAATAGGTACTAGGTATTTTGGGCGGGCGTTGTGTGATCAAGGGGCGAGCGTAAATTTAATGCCGTTATCAATTTATGAGAAATTGAATCTAGGAGAAATTAAGCCTACTTCCGTGACCTTGCAGCTAGCCGATAGATCTTTTACTCACCCTTTAGGTATAGTGGAGGATGTATTGGTCAAGGTAGATAAGTTCATACTCCCGGCCGATTTTCTAGTACTAGACATAGAGGAAGATGAAAATATTCCCCTTATCTTAGGACGCCCCTTCTTAGCAACCGGTAGGTCAATTATTGATGTAGGAAAGAGAGAGCTAAGAATGAGTGTGGGGGAAGAAACAGTGATCTTCAAGGTGTACCGGGTGGATGAAAAGCCTATTACGGCTAATGGATGTTATCTTCTTGATGAGGTAAGTGATTCTAAACTTTTTCCTGTTAAATTACATGATTTAAATTTTTTTGTGGATACTAATGTGCATGTAGGAGAACATAAGAAAAAGGTTGAGTTGGTTACAACACCTACTCAAAACACCGTGATAAAAGACGATGTTGGCAAGCCTCATGACATCAAGAAGGATAAATTCAAGGGCAGTCATAAGCGAACCAGTCGAAAGAAGAATCGGATCAACCCATTTATTCAAGACTTTCTCCAGAAGGAAGTTAGGAGATGGGTTCAAAAGTTAAGGAATTGAAGAAGAGGAACAAAGTCTGGCTGAAGACTATAAACTTAGCGCTTCTCGGGAGGCAACCCGAGCTTTCGTTTTTCTTTTCTTTTATTTTATTTTTTTATTTTATTATTTGTGTTTTTATTTATTTAACTTGTTAGTGTTTGCTCTTATTTTATTTCAGCTTTGAAAAAAAAAAAAAGTTTCAGGGGCACTAATATGAAGTTTTTATTTTTCAGGGCCTTAAATGGAATTTTCGAAACTTGTCACACGGCCGTGCAGAAAAAGACCTGGAGTCTCGCACGGCCGTCCGAGAAACGGACCCAGCTACTGCCCAAAACCGGCTTTTGGCACGGCCGTGCGGATTTAAGGCTTAAACTCCGCACGGCCGTCCGAGAATTCAAGGAGCTTCTGCCCAATTTCGTGAATTGGTGCGGCCGTGCGGATTTCTTCACAAAATCCCGCACGGCCGTGCGAATAAGGAAAAACGGGCAGATTTAAAGAGGGGTTTTCACACCCAAATTTTCACAATTCCAATCCCCTCTTTTCCAAATTTTCGATTTTCTTGAACAATTTCACCGAAAATTCACCGACTACACACATATTGTTACTTATCTCGGTGGTTTGTTGTTGATTTGCGCAGGGGGGATTCAAGAAAGGTGCAATTTTCTCCACAAACACACTCCACCAAGAACGCCCACAAGGTGTTCGACGAATTGCCCAAGTCAAGTTTGGGGGGGAATTTTGCACATCAATTCACGTATAATCCCGACGATGGTCCCGACATTTAAAACAGGTGTTTTCTTTCCTTAAACTCCGGGCGAATCACATTGAGGGCAATGTGAATTTTAAGTTTGGGGGTGGTTAACTATGTGTTTTCGTTTATATGCGCTTTAATTGTGTTTTATTTTTTTTATGCTGTAGTTTTTGTTTTAGTTGCCGTTTTTGTTTTTCGTTTTTATTATTAAAAAAAAAAATATATATATATATATATATATATATATATATATATATATATATATATATATATATATATATATATATATATATATATATATATATATATTTATCTATATATATATATATATATATATATATATATATGTATATGTATATATATAAATATATATGTTTTATGTTGAAAAGGTGTATGTATGTGTATATCTCTCTATTCATCGGCACATATAAATATATTTTATACAATCTCTCACTCACTCTCTATCTATATATAGAGACATATATATATATATATATACACACACATATATATATATATA